GAATTAAACTGGCTTCCAGTATAGAGAAAGGAAAGACAGTGGTCCCATCAGACACTGGGCGGTTTGTGGGATGACCTTGGAAGTTTTCCTTGAAACCTGAGAGCTACTCTCGCCTGTATAGTAAATCCCTGTAGAGTTTCACCAGCCGAGGTGAAATCTCTGTTGGGAAAGTGTTAGCCAACCTGAATGATAGAACTCTGAAAGAAATGACACCTTCTTTTTCAAGAGTATGCAATAATCCCATTTACCAGTGTTGCTAAATGTAGGTTCAGTGACTGGATGTAAACGGCTGTTAAAAGCCAGGTGTACGTCCCGGCCCGTGTGGCTCAGTTGGAACATTGTCTGTACATCGTAGGTTGCGGGTTCAGTCACTGTTGAGGGTGTGTACAGGAAAGCAACTGATCGCTGTTTCTCTCTCACACTGATGTTTCTCTCGCTCCCTCCCTCCCCCTTCCCCTCTAAGAAAATCAATAAGCATGTTCTCAAGTGAGGATAAAAAAAAAGAAAAGCAAACGGTACAATTAAAATGGTGGACGTGGTATAAAACAGTAGGAGTCCTTTTGCAGTCTTCATACAACTATTTAGCCTCGCTTTGAATAATATGAAGGAAAGCCCAATTTATGTCCAAATTACACATTTTAAATATAAGGTTCCAAATTAATGTGACTCTAAAGTACTTTGATCAGAGTCTTGTAGTTACTATCTGCGCCATTTCTTAACCACTTCTCATTTCCAGACACCAACGGGAAATGCTTCTCTTCTCCCTTTTATGGTTAATCTCAGGGTATAATTCTGCAATGGTGGGGAGCGAGATCCTCTCTGTTTTGGTTGCCCAGGGGCCACAAAACTCTGAGTGATCCTAGGAGAGATACAAACATCGGCTTGCAATCTAGAGGTGTATTTCAAGAGCCAGCTGGGGAGGAAAATGAAACCAGATTGAAATGGTGCAACGTCAAGCGCCAGCAGTCTGCAGCTTGCTTCAGTAGATTCTGCTGTGGCTTCCTAACTGAAGGCTCACTCAGAGCCCAGCCAGGTCTCCAAGCAGTTTGAGTCCAGGGTAGTAATGACTGCAGTGGGAGACAGGGAGATGGGAAAGGCAGGTGAGTAGGAAGCTCTAGGCCAGTTTTCATTTTGTTTGCGCTCTGTCCTGTTCTGATGTCCTTCCGTTTCATAACCAACGATGTCTCAGGGAGAGTCATTCACCAAGTTTAGCTAGTGAACCCGAGCCCAGGGAGCCTCCTGGGAAAGCTTCTGCCTTCCTTTCCAGCCCTGCCAGCAGCTAACTCATCTTGTGTTTTTATCAGTAACGTGGTCTGAGAATTGTAAACATCTTAAAGGCAATTCAGTCCAACTTCCCACCCCATCTAGACATCCTGACTCCAACAGACACTTATTCTGCCTCAGGCTAAATGGTTCCAGAGAAGGGAGAACATTACTTCAAAAGGCAACTTACTCCATCTTTTGAAAGTTTCCCTCTTAATCTGAAATCTGCCTTCTTGAAATTTCCATCCTGAAATCTTGGTTCCACCCTTTGAACCCAGGATGGAATAGAATGCTCTCAGATATTGCTGCTCGGGCACCCTGGTCACAACCATTGCGGCTGCTCTCTGAACCAGCTCCTACTGCAAAGCCCCCTTTCAGAATGTCCCTCAGAATGAAATCTGCCGCTCAGATGTAGCCCAAGTGTGCAGAACACACTAGGACTATTATTTTTCTTCTTCTGTGATTGAACTTAGGGAAAGGCAGGGCAAGATTGCAGTAGCTTTTTTGGCAACCGCACCGAGATTCTGTTGGCGCCTGTTTAGCTTTGAGTTAAAACCACCGCAGCTTTTTCACATGAGGCTCACGATTAAGCTCTGTCTTCCTGTCCTGTATACATGTTACTTTTTAAAAAATCTTAAGAATTTATTCAACTTTAAAGTTTAAACCACCAGTTATTGATTACCCACTACATGATTAATGCTTTTCATATCAATTGTTGATGCCTCCTGGAATCCCATGAGGATGACTACCTATGTTTTATAGAGGGTGCTGATGACCAGCACAGTACAAATTCTCACTTAGGTCTGGAGCCTTCTGCACATACCATTTTTTAAAGAGCTCTTTGAACCCTAATACTGACACCCATTGTGTTTGCAATCCTTCTCAGTCCCATGACTTCTGCAAATTGAATGTGCCTACTAAGTTGTTGGACAGTTTCCCAAAGTTGGGAGGTGGTTAGACTACTCTAAAGCAGCAATTTCCAGTCTCTATGGCACAAAAGCAATTTAGTGAGTCACAATCAGCATCTCTATATATACAAGCCTAATATGCAAATTGTCCTTGCGGGAGTTCTACCGGGAGACCAATCACTCGCTATGACATGTGCTGACCACCAGGAGGTGGTGCAGAATGAAGGGAGGCCGCAGCTGGTAGCCGGAAGGAAAGCCCTGATCGGCCCTGATAGCTGGCCAGGCCTAGGCACCCTACCTGTGCACGAATTTCATGCACCAGGCCTCTAGTTTAAAAATAAAAGCCAAGGCCCTGCTGACATGGGCTCAGTGGTTGAGCATGGACCTATGAACCAGAAGGTCATGGGTTTGATTCCCGGTCAGGGTACATGCCTGGATTGCAGGCTTGATCCCCAGTAGAGGGTGTGCAGGAGGCAGCTGATCAGTGATTCTCTTGCTTTCTCCTTCTCCATTC